ACAACCCGTTTTCTAACACCATAAACACTAAGGAACAACTCTTTTTCCTATACCATAAACACCGAGACACCATAACCCATTCCTTCACCACCTATGTCACTACACACACACTCCGAGGTTTACAGTTTTATATATGTAAGTTAACACTGTGGTGGAATAAGACATCTAAAGCACATTAAAACCTAATCTAACCTAACCTAACCTAACACGCACCACACCCGCATGGTCTCACTGCCTCCATGACTTGACACTGCCATGACGTCGCTTCTCTCGTCATGTTCCCCTCATTATCATTAAAGAGCTCACTACTACATCCCCCCTGTGTGTGTGTGTGTGTGTGTGTGTGTGGGTGTGTGTGAGGCCGGTTGCTGGGTTAGGTTAAGTTAGGTTAGGTTAGCTTAATCTTCAGGAATCCCTAAAATGCATTCCTATATTAAAGGTTGCCATATTTATTTATTTTATTACAAACTACTGTAGTGACAAGTACAGTATTATCCCGGATTGTGAACTCTCACGTCATCAATGTGAAAGTGGAGACAACAACAGAGGCAAAGTTCAGTAATTAAATCATAATGACCATCTGTTGGCTGGCTGGTAACATTGATGACTTAATTGTGTTGATACAGAAGAGAGTAATTTACTAACGAAGACTGGCACACTATGTTTACACGGTGGAAATAATAACGCGGTATTTAACACGTAAAGAACAATAAGTGTTTGTAGTGTCAGAGTCAGAGGGAAATGTGTCTTTACTCTGCCATCTGGTTGTCGGTATAAAACAAAAACAAGTAATTATTTCCACACAGGAAGTTTCATTCACTGACTGGTTAGTAATGATCACTTTAAGGTGGTTTTTATATTACACACAGATTAGGTTAGTTTTTGGGGGAGTAAGATAACGCAGCTCCTCACAGTGAGTCACTTACCCCGGGGCGAGCCACAACACGTCCTCACCGCCGCCCCGGGTACACTCACCGCCGCCCCGGGTACACTCACCGCCGCCCCGGGTACACTCACCGCCGCCTCGGGTACACTCATCACTTGGGGTCACTCACACTACAGTATAGGTAGGGGTGAGGGAAGGGAGCAACACATGTCATCAACGGAGGCGGGTGACGTCGACACAGGAGTGGCGTCTACCTCACCTGGCAGGTCACCTGGTCACACCTACACAGGTACCTGGATCACGCGCACCTACAGTAATTTATTTGCAAGTACCTGTGTGTGTGTGTGTGTGTGTGTGTGTTTCACTAGGTAGTCAGCAACTGGCAGCCTTACACCTGCCCTACCTTCGTTGTTGTTTAGAAATACTTTTGCTTTACTCAACAGACTACGTTTAAAGAGTCCATGTCTAATATTTATATATATATATATATATATATATATATATATATATATATATATATATATATATATATAAAATATAGCCAGGTAGGTAAAACATAATCTGATAATGTCTCACATCAAAAGGCTTGACTTGAAAATCTCTCTACATACAACCCCCGGGATGAACTCACTTGGGATCACTGTTATGTTTAGATAGTCCTCCATCACTCCACTCGTCACTAGTCAGTTTTTTACTTTTCATTTTATCGAATTTCACGATCACTCAACACCCAAGGCGAGAACCTGCTATTGTATAGTCAGTCAGTGATGGGTCCGACTGTCACCGATGAATGACCTTCAATTATTTGAGTACAACACAACCGTCACTGTAATAATAACTATAATAATACTGTAATAATAATAATAATAATAGTAATAATAATAATTATAATAATAATAATAATAATAATAATAATAATAATAATAATAATAATAACAGGAATTTCATACTAATTCAAGCTAAAAATATATGTACTTTCATCCACACGTCTTACTCGTGACCACGTATTGTAAACACCAACACTAACATTATATACCAAAAAATTAAATATTGACACAAAGCGTAGTAATTTTTTCTTTTTATGAATTATTAATGGTCGTGATAATAATTGGTATATAATCGATGAAAATAGCAGATTACGGTTTCCTTATTATTACTTTTGTTATTATTATTATTATTATTATTATTATGGACTAGAACAGGGGTCATTAGTCACCAGTTGTGTATTAAATCATATAATGGCTATTCCTGTGAGATGGTTCCATTATCCTCAACATGCACAGGTTGGCCCCAGGCACCCAGTGACTGAGTGCCACACGCAGCCCCCCCAAAAGGGTCAATTGCTCCGGCTGTCTTGACTTCTTACCTGACCTGACCTGAAACTAACTTAACGTTAAACTAACTTAATCTAATCTAACATAACGTAACTATCACCATCCCTCTCCACTGTGTGTGTGTGTAATGAAGGAGTCACACTGTGCCTCTCCCCTTAACGCCACAGTAACGACCATACACTCACTCAGTTCACCCCATCAGACACACCTGATTAGGGCCTCGGCTGCCCTCCATACACACAATCAATAAATCAACATCCAGTTCTTCACTTATATTTACCAGACCTAAACATGTAATGCAAAACTTTCACCTCAACCAAACAGAAAACAAATCGTGGAAAAGATTACCAAGAAAGCCCCATGTTTGGAGAGCGTTTAGGGTCAAAAACATTCAGAATTCTTCACTTGTCATCGGGTAAGGGATTCACGACTTGTTCTTTGCCTGGATATATTTTAACCTCCATCAAAAGTTAATGCAGTTTTGTGAGACAGCAACAGTAATAAGTGCGGGGAATCGAGTTATCTGATGGGCAAGTGAAGACGCTATTTGGCCTCTTAATCTGAGTTGTTCAAGACTATAGGGCAAGATGAAGCGTGGGCGGGCGGTGTTCTTACTTCCTCATGCTGTTGAATATTACCTTATCTTTACGTCCTTTCACACCTCCAGTAATAACTAGACTCATCAAAGGCCGTAATAGCTTCTCCCGCCGCGCCGTGAGGTACTATACGAGAGAAGACTGGACAAACTTTGAGAGAATCAGGATATCTTGTAGAGTTGTGGATGTATAGTGAAAAGCCAATTAACCAATCCACTACAATTCGTAATTATGGGATCACCTGAAGATTATCCCCATAGCTTATACCACCTGATGATTAAACACCCACACGTTACCTGGGGTTTAGGTTAGGTTAAGTTAAGTTAGGTTAGGTTAAGTTAGGTTAGGTTAGGTTAAGTTAGGTTAGGTTAGCGTTACGGTGTTTATTCGGCAGATGCAACAAGATGGAGGGCTACAGATGGAGAGACACAGACATAGAACCGTCTTCAGGTGGTGGCTCGCTGGCCCACCCTCACCTTCCCCTATGTTGGAACAGGTCACAGAGTGCACGTCTACTCCTGACACTTTTTCCTCCCCACCTATAATCTCCTTATTCTGTCCTCGTCCACACACACACACACACACTATAAGCACCCGATTGTACAAACAAATGCACCCACACTTGAGACACACGCACGTTTCTTAAGAGAGGCGTGCGGTGCGTGCGTGCCCACACATAGTGAGGGTGGCGGGGCTGGGTGGGGCGGGCAGTATCGACCCAACTGGGCTATGGTACGGCGGCTAGTAAATATTGCATCACCGCTCATGATCAGCTGACAGCACGAACCTGGAAACTGGGTCACGCTAACCCCAACACTCACTGTTCTTTTGAGTGATTATCATCTCAGGATATTATACAGCAGTTGTTCTTTTATATAAGTATTATCTCTTCTTCTTTTCAGTAAATATCCCAAGTTTATACAATTGTTATCTTTACCTGTTGTTCTCGTCAGGAAATATCGTGAATGTACGCCATCTTATCCCTTGAACCAGTGTTATCTTATTTGCTGGTCACCATGGTCCAGCTGGTCATCATAGTCCAGCTGGTCACCATGGTCCAGCTGGTCATCATGGTCCAGCTGGTCACCATGGTCTAGTTGGTAACCATGGTCCAGCTGGTCACCATGGTCTAGTTGGTAACCATGGTCCAGCTGGTCACCATGATCCAGCTGGTCACCATGATCCAGCTGGTCACCATGGTCCAGCTGGTCACCATGGTCCAGCTGGACACCATGGTCCAGCTGGACACCATGGTCCAGCTGGACACCATGGTCCAGCTGGTCACCATGGTCCAGCTGGTCATCATGGTCCAGCTGGTCACCATGGTCCAGCTGGTCATCATGGTCCAGCTGGACACCATGGTCCAGCTGGACACCATGGTCCAGCTGGTCACCATGGTCCAGCTGGTCATCATGGTCCAGCTGGTCACCATGGTCCAGCTGGTCATCATGGTCCAGCTGGTCACCATGGTCCAGCTGGTCACCATGGTCCAGCTAGTCATCATGGTCCAGCTGGTCACCATGGTCCAGCTGGACACCATGGTCCAGCTGGACACCATGGTCCAGCTGGTCACCATGGTCCAGCTGGTCATCATGGTCCAGCTGGTCACCATGGTCCAGCTGGTCATCATGGTCCAGCTGGTCACCATGGTCCAGCTGGTCACCATGGTCCAGCTGGACACCATGGTCCAGCTGGACACCATGGTCCAGCTGGTCACCATGGTCCAGCTGGTCATCATGGTCCAGCTGGTCACCATGGTCCAGCTGGTCATCATGGTCCAGCTGGTCACCATGGTCCAGCTGGTCACCATGGTCCAGCTGGTCACCATGGTCCAGCTGGTCATCATGGTCCAGCTGGTGTAAAATAAACCTTATGGTAGTGTCTCAATCACTTGACAGCCTCACACATATTCCGCTTCACTAAAACAATATTTCTGAACACACGGTTGAGTCTTATAAGTAATATATCCCAATACACTGAAACACTCCCGGCAGATATATAATGCAGTTTAATTAATACACTAGAGTGATATCTGTATAAGTATTTCAATAATTTCATGTAAATAATGAATTGTGTATAGGTGTTTATTTAAATTTGGGATGACTTATACTGCCTTAATAAGACTCAGGGTTATAGTGTAGTGTAATAAAGTAATTTTAATGAGTATTGTTTTTTTTCTTTCAGGAAATACGTCGAGGTGTGAGGGCGAGAGCGTCACCATGCTGAATGTGTTGTGAGGGAGAAGTGGTGAGTGTCGGGAGGATCCAGTGTGAGGGCCTCACCTCACGGCTCACACACACCCGGCGCCGCTATGTGCCTGGACCATCCTCACGCCGCAGGAATCCCCCTGCCGCTACTGTCTCTCACACCGCAGAGATAAGGCGTCTTCTCACTGTGTTACCCAGCACAGGAACAAGGAGGCCTACCCCCAGCCAGGTCGCCCCTATAGGCCTGCCGAGTACAGTCGAGGCCACTGACTCCCCCTCCCCCTCATACTGAGAGGTCATCGGCCGTGTGCGTGTCAGCCACTACCGCTATGACCTGTAGAAGGGCAACAGAGGCCCGCTGGCAACACAGCTCTGATACTCGTCGTTATTATCTACGAAATGAGTTTTTTCGTTAAGTGAAGTTCTCCATCAGCAGATCACACAGGGTAGATGACGCAGTTATACGATAGGGTTAAATTGGACAAAATAAATTAATTTCACATTTATTTTTTATGATAATCTGACAAAATCAAATAATGAAGGTAGCCATCCCAGGAAGAGCTATCAAGATGCAAGAGCACTTCGGATCATCAACAACACAACTCAACCCACTGTTAAGACACGGGAAGATTCCCTTCAACAACATAGAGATCCGGCCCACCATAGACTACTTAGCTCTCAACTCAGCCACTCAGAGCGCTCACGGCCTCGAAGACTCCACCCACCTCAACAACAAAGACTGGAAGAGAACCACAAAATTCTACAAAAAAGAACTAAAAGCGAAGGGAAACATTCGACCATCAACCGCAGTACGACGACACGTGAAAAAAATATCAGAAGAATTTACTATGACTCAAACCAAGTACGAGAACTCCGTCAACACGAGCGGCTCAGTGAAGACCTCAGAAGGTAAAGATAAATTCACATCAGCATCATCAACATCTTCCTCTTCATCAATAACAGTGAGCCAGAAACTACCGCAGTCCAAGTTCTCTAAGAACGTCTTCTCCAAAATCACGTGTTCTAAATGTGAATCTTTAACAAAAGTGTCGAGGAAGAACACAATGGCGCCTCTCGTTACCTCAGCCGTGACCACCACAGCTAAGACGTGTAACTCCGCCTCCAAGAGTCACTCCGCCAAGAGTCAGAACAATAAGAGCAAAAACAGTAGTGGGTCGTGCAGGGACTCTGGCTCCCCACAGAAGAAACTCTCATCATCCCTGAGTCCCCCAGGGTCCTCCCCACGTCCTCGCCACAGACACCCCAATGGTCGGTGTGTAGCGGGTGGAGTAGCAGCAGCAGGAGGAGGAGAGCCGGGCCTGGCACCTAACAGCCCGGCACTGCCCAGATCACCAGGGAGGAAGGGGTCCTCCACCTCCCTAGGGGGAATCTCTCCTCGCTCAAAACAGATGTCCTCCGAGCAGATCAGGAAGGTGAAGGTGTTTACAGAAAGAGCAATAATGGTAAGTAACCACACATACATTATTTATCACGTAAATGTGATATATATATTGCACTTTCTTAAACATTATCTCATAACAACATGAAACATTTTTCACGGTGTAACTAATGTATAGTTATCATGATAATATTTTCCCTGCAGTAACACTATGTCACTCTTCTGTGCAGGAGGGCCGCGTGTTCTCCATATTCGGGTACTTCCCCGCCATTAAAGATGCACTGAGGAGACGTGGATGGGTGGAGAAAATACAGCACAGTGTTCCTTACGTCAACCCGCACCCCAACAACTGTGTGTGTCCTCACGTGGGCTACCAGGCGTCCTTCACTCCTTCCATCACCACCACCGCCGCCTCCAACCACATCTCCACCAGTAGTGGGTCATCAGCACAGCCAGGTCGTAATGGGTCAGCATCCACCCGCAGCGGCCAAGACGAGGAGGTCAAAGGTGACATAGAGGATGTCAACGACCCCGCCCAGGACAACACTGCTGCTGACGACGCTGTTCCACCACAACAAACATCATCAGATTCATCACCCCTCTCCCCAGATAAGTCATCATCACCACCACCACCACAATCATCATCATCACCATCATCCTCATCTTCATCATCACCTTCGTCCTCATCATCATCATCATCATCATCATCAGAAACGGACGAGGAACAACAGAAAGTGATCACTGCCAACCAAGGTTCTTCCAACGTAGAAACTAATATAGTGTCGACCAAATATGAGAATCCTCCCCAGCCTGCCGCCGCCTCTCACACACCAACTATACCCACTTCCAGTCAAGAGGCTCAGGTACCGGGGGAGTCTTCCAGCATTACAGAGGGGACCGGTGATACTAACCCCACTCAGCTTGTAAGTAACCGTGATAGTTTCAACACTGCCATACTAGGGCCTTCTGAAATACGGAAAGGACTAGCATCATCCATAACGGAGAAAAACGCCACCATATTTAAGTACAGTACAACACACATTCCAAAGAAGACAAAAGACAACGTGGACAACACCGATAATGAGGAACCACTTGTAGAGGAAGAAACAAACTTGGAAGATGTGAAAGAAAATGAGGAGGGAGAGACTCAATTAAAGGGAGATGAGGAGGGTGGTGATGAGGGGGAGGAGGGGACACAGGTCGCCCCAGAGCCGTATTGCCCTTATATTGAGTATGAACTGTGTGATATGGACCTCCCTTTGGTGGCCAGGCTGCTGAGGAACGTGGAACCGAACTTCCTGTGGACGTGGACCAGGGACTCTATATCCTTCAAGCACCTCAGTCGGGAACAAATGGTCAACCGCTTCCCCAACACCCCCTTCACTACCAAGGTAAGGAACCCGCAACTTGCTGACTCTACAACTCTGTCCTAATAATAACATAAAAATCCCAAACAGGTAATATAATGCTTTTAGTCATATAATTAAATTTACCTGTGTGATCTTGAGGTGATTTATACATTCTAAACTACAGTTAAGAGTTTCATCACTAAACACAAACATAAATAATCACTATAGTTTTAACGTCATGATTTATGTTTTATGATTTATAATGTTTACTAAACTGTTACCCGGGACAGTTTGGGTTATATGTTAAAGCGGTGTTTTGGTGGAGGTCGCTAAGTTGACATCTGAGAGACACGTCATAATTCCTGCCAGACACATGCCAGGGAGCGTGTTAAAGGGAGATAACACTACTGCACACCTAGGAACACCCATCTCCCTCCCTTCCTTCACTCCTTCCCTCCCTCCTTCCTTCCCTCCCTCCTTCCTTCCATCCCTCCTTCCTTCCTTTTCTCCTGACACAAGTTGACGAGCGGCTGGTGGCTGGGGAGAGACCGTCAGGCGATCATTGAGTGCTCTAGATTCACCTGATTGATGAAAGTTTGAGGTGATGTTTTCCTCTTGCTCGTTCTCCCCTTTAACGGTTATTGTCAAAGTCATTTTTCTAACCTTTATGAAAACAAGTACAGTATACAGTCCATGTCTTCAACCTGCGGCTCTCACTGTTCTCAGGGTACAATATTTTACACTTTTTACACCATCTATTAAACTATCTTCTAATTATTTTACACTTTTACACCATTATCGACTATTTATTTTACACTTTTTACATTAAACTATCTACTAATTTACCAAAGAGATTATTTCAATTTAGTTGTTTTCATTGTAATAATCTAACTTAATGTGTAATAGCGAGGTGACAATACCGATAAACTGTCACACAACAACTGGCAGCATTCTAGACCAGCGCCCCTAGTGAAAGATTCGTACCAAACAAGTTAAAACAAACAAACATACATACAAACAAACAAACAAACGAACAGGACGGGTGTGAGATATATATAGCACTCAGAGGTGTATCATAATGACCTAATGAGGGTTAACACGTCATGCTTGGCAATTAGAGGGTCGAGGAGCTGCTGTGGAGTTAATATAATGCCTTACCCATCCACACAGCCCCTACTCACAACCACCACCTTTGCAACCCCCAACACAACTCCTACATACAACACAACCCCTACACACAACACAACCTCTAACACAACCCCCAACACAACCCCTACACACAACACAACCCCTAACACAACCCCTACACCCAATCAACATTAAAAAACCTTCCATTTTATAGTTTTTCACACATCTATATAATTATACTGGAAATTTTGGATACATATGACTAAATATATAAACAATCTCATACATACATACATACATACATACATACATACATACATACATACATACATACATACATACATACATACATACATACATACAGGGTGATCATAAAAGAATGCCCAGGTTTTATTGGATAACTATTTAGAATCTAGACTTTCTTTTTGGATGACTCTGTGTGATGTATATTAAGATATATTGGAATGTGTGTTAATGTGGAGAATGATGTTGAATGTGAGGGAATGAGTGTAAGTAACTAGGTCTATGAATGTTAGGTTATGTTGGTCCTCTGTGTTAGTTGGGTGATGATGATGATGATGATGATGATGGTGATGATGATGATGATGATGATGATGGGTGATAGTAGTGGTGATACTTAGGCAAGGAGGCGAGTTTGGATACCATACTTCTATCACCACCACACATCTACCCTCTCCTCGCCACCACTGTCATCACTACATCTCCACCATTTCCTTCACCACACCTCCACCCTTCCCTCATCACAACCACCACACCTCCACCCTTCCCTCACCCTCCACCCTTCCCTCACCCTCCACACCTCCACCCTTCCCTCAACCTCCTCACCTCCACCCTTCCCTCACCACCGCCCTTCCCTCACCCTCCACACCTCACGCCCTCACCATCCACAACCTCCACCCTTCCTCACCCTCACACACCTCCGCCTTCCTCACCCACTCACCTCCACCTTCTCTCCCCTCCACACCTCCACCCTTCCTCGCCTCACCTCCACCCTTTCCTCTTCCTCCACACTCCACCGCTTCCCTCTTACTCACCTCCACCCTTCCCTCACCCTCCACCTCCACCCCTTCCCCTCACCCTCCACACCTCCCACCCTTCCCATCAACCTCCACCTCCACCCTTCCTACCATCCACTGCACCCTTCCCTCCCCTCCACACCTCCACCCTTCCCTCACCCTCCACACCTCCACCCTTCTCTCCCCTCACACCTCCACCCTTCCCTCACCCTCCACACCTCCACCCTTCCCTCACCCTCCACACCTCCACCCTCACCCTCCACACCTCCACGCCCCTCACCCTCCACACCTCCACCCTTCCTCACCCTCCACCTCCACCCTTCCTCACCCTCCCACACCTCCACCCTTCCCTCATCACAACCACCACACCTCCACCCTTCCCTCACCCTCCACCCTTCCCTCACCCTCCACACCTCCACCCTTCCCTCAACCTCCTCACCTCCACCCTTCCCTCACCACCGCCCACACCTCCACTTCTCTCCCCTCCTCGTCCTCAGTGCCCCTCGAGGCTAACAACCCACTTCCTTCTTCATGTACTTGTGCTGCCTCAACACTGTTACTCCCCCGGCAGTACCGTGAAGGATATCTTAAAGTAAAATAACAGCAACACGGCCACGACCCTCAGGTTGGCTCCTCCCCAAGGTTCTCGATCCTTCCCTACATTGATTCCCAGGTGTAAAAATTTTCCACATAATATATTAGGGATCGTCGAGGTGAATTGCCTCAATCCTTTACCAGAGTTTCGTCTTAAAACAAAAGAAAAAACATGTGTTTTGTAGAGTTGTGTTCAGCAGCGTCACAAGAGATAAACACAGGCAGTACCGTTGAACTGAGGGGATGGTAAAGAGTCTTACATAAAACACAAACACTGAGAACAAAGTAAAAAATATTGCAAAGATTCCAAACACCTCACATCAAGCGTCAGGTGTTTGAGATACATCCAGCCACACTCCCAGGGTCAGCGCCCCCGCCACATATATTGTCTCACACGCCCAGCAACATAATCCCTGGTTAGGAGGGATAATAGACGCGACCACACAAGTGTGGGAGGTGAGGGCCACTAGCCGTCATGGCAGGACGAGTCTTCAAGATCGATCAGCTTTAAAAGTGGTGTCGGGTGGCGGCGGTGGCACACGTCAGGCAGGTTCTCCTGCTGGCGGCGGTGGTGATGGTAGAACACGTCAGGAAGCTCCTCCTGGTGGTGGTAGAACACGTCAGGCAGCCCCTCCTGGTGGAGGTAGAACACGTCAAGCAGGTCCTCCTGCTGCTGGTGGTAGAAACACGTCAGACAGCTCCTCCTGCTGCTGGTGGTAGAACACGTCGGGCAGGTCCTCCTGACGGTGGTAGAACAAGTCAGGCAGGTCCTCCTGATGGTGGTAGAACACGTGAGGCAGCTGCTACCAGTAAACTACTCAGTCAACAAACATGAACTTTACTCTTCAAGCGACCACCACTTACTAGCACGCGACCACTCACCCACCACAACCCTCCCTAGATGGTGGATGATGAATGGATGAGTAAGAGGAAGAAAGAGTGAGTGACTGATAGAGTTAGCTGATGGAAGAAATGGATAAACAGATGAGTCGGTGTTTAATGGGTGAATGGATGAGTAATGAGTAAACAGAAACAGGGATGACTGATTATTGTAGTGCTTATTTGGTGGATGTTCTTAGCCTGGTCAGTGAGAGAAGCAATATGCTCTTTCTCTTTATTTCTCTCTCTTTCGTCTGTCTCACTCTCATTTTCTCTCTCGTTTCGGTTTTCTTTTCCCTCCATCCATCATTTTTTCTTATCACACTATATTTCTTTCTTTGTTTTTCTCCACCCTTTTTTTTTTACTCTCTCTCTCTCTCTCTCGTCCCCAGACTAACACACACACACTAACATCATTTTCTCCCAGTCGTCATATCTCCAGCCACCACCACCTGTCTCTCCACCTTCCCTTTACCTGAAGTTCATTTCCTTTCCTATTTTCACCTATTTCTTCACCTTATCTCCTATTTTTACACCCAATTCCCTTCCCCCCCATTATTTATTACTTATATTATCATTACATATTTATTCAGTTATCCCTATTCTATTTCTTATCTATCCACTTCTTTTATTACCTATTTTGTCATTATTTATTATATTTTTACTACTATCTACCAATTGTTATCTGTTTCAACTCCTTATTCTCAATCTTATTATTGTTTATATAGTTCATCATTCTAATCTATATTGTCATCTTATCATCTGTTGTAATTTTCGCGCCAAAATATACACAAGTAGTTCAGGATGATATAATTTTAGTGATCTTTTGAGGTGTGTCAAGGATAATATCAATTTAGGGACCTTTTGTGGTGTTGCGTCAAGGATGATATCAATTTAGGGACCTTTTGTGGTGTTGCGTCAAGGATGATATCAATTTAGGGACCTTTTGTGGTGTTGTGTCAAGGATGATATCAATTTAGGGACCTTTTGTGGTGTTGTGTCAAGGATAATATCAACTTAGGGACCTTTTGTGGTGTTGTGTCAAGGATGATATCAATTTAGGGACCTTTTGTGGTGTTGTGTCAAGGATGATATCAATTTAGGGACCTTTTGTGGTGTTGTGTCAAGGATGATATCAATTTAGGGACCTTTTGTGGTGTTGTGTCAAGGATGATATCAATTTAGGGACCTTTTGTGGTGTTGTGTCAAGGATGATATCAATTTAGGGACCTTTTGTGGTGTTGTGTCAAGGATGATATCAATTTAGGGACCTTTTGTGGTGTTGTGTCAAGGATGATATCAATTTAGGGACCTTTTGTGGTGTTGTGTCAAGGATGATATCAATTTAGGGACCTTTTGTGGTGTTGTGTCAAGGATGATATCAATTTAGGGACCTTTTGTGGT